CATCGTGGTTTTGAGTGATGGGAGAGGGGAGAGTGAAGAAATTTTGGGTGGTTGCATCGGTTTTTGAGTGATGGGAGAGAGGGAGAGTGAAGAAATTTGGGTGGTTGCATTCGGTTTTTGAGTGATGGGAGAGGGGAGAGTGAAGAATTTGGGTGGTTGCATCGGTTTTGAGTGATGGGAGAGGGGAGAGTGAAGAAATTTGGGTGGTTGCATCGGGTTTTGAGTGATGGGAGAGGGGAGAGTGAAGAAATTTGGGTGGTTGCATCGGGTTTTGAGTGATGGAGAGGGGAGAGTGAAGAAATTGGGTGTTGCATCGGTTTTGAGAGTGATGGGAGAGGGAGAGTGAAGAAATTTGGTGTGGTTGCATCGGGTTTTTGAGTGATGGGAGAGGGGAGAGTGAAGGAAATTTGGTGTGGTTGCATCGGTTTTTGAGTGATGGGAGAGGGAGAGTGAAGAAATTTGGGTGGTTGCAGTCGGTTTTGAGTGATGGGAGAGGGGAGAGTGAAAAATTTTGGGTGGTTGCATCGGGTTTTTGAGTGATGGGAGAGGGGAGAGTGAAGAAATTTGGGTGCGTTGCATCGGGTTTTGAGTGATGGGAGAGGGGAAGAGTGAAGAAATTGGGGTGGTTGCAATCGGTTGTTAGTGATGGGAGAGGGGGAGTGAAGAAATTTGGTGTTCTGGTTGCATCGGTTTTTGATTGTGATGGGGAGAGGGAGAGTGAAGAAAATTTGGGTGGTTGCATCGGTTTTTGTTAGTGATGGGAGAGGGGAGAGTGAAGAAATTTTGGGTGGTTGCATCGGTTTTTTGAGTGATGGGAAGAGGGGAGAGTGAAGAAAATTTGGGTGGTTGCATCGGTTTTTTAGTGATGGGAGAGGGGGAGAGTGGAATAGATAATTTGGGTGGTTGCAATCGGTTTTTGAGTGATGGGAGAGGGGAGAGTGAAGAAATTCTGGGTGGTTGCATCGGTTTTTTGAGTGATGGGAGAGGGGAGAGTGAAGAAATTTGGGTGGTTTGCATCGGTTTTGAGTGATGGGAGAGGGGAGAGTGAAGAAATTTGGGTGGTGTGCATCGGTTTGAGTGATGGGAGAGAGGGAGAGTGGAAGAATTTGGGTGGTTGCATCGGTTTTGAGTGAGATGGGAAGAGGAGGAGGTATAGAAATTTGGGGTGGTTGCATCGGGTTTTTGAGTGATGGGAGAGGGGAGAGTGAAGAAATTTGGGTGGTTGCATCGGGTTTTTGAGTGATGGGAGGGGGAATGAAAAAATTTTGGGTATGGTTTGCATCGGTTTTTGAGTGATTGGGAAGAGGGGAGAGTGAAGAAATTTTGCAGGTGGTTGCATCGGGGACTTTTTTTGAAAGTGTATGAGAGAGTGTGGTCTAGGGAGAGTGAAGAAATTTGGGTTGGTTGCATCGGTTTTGAGGTGATGGGAGAGGGGAGAGTGAAGAAATTTGCTGTAGTTATGGTATTTGTCATCGGGTTTTGAGTGATGGGAGAGAGGGGAGAGTGAAAGATATCTTTTATGGTGTTGGTGTTGGTGGCATCGTTTTTGAGATGATGGGAGAGGTGAGTCATTTTGTTCGAAGAGTAATTTGGCTGGATTGAAAGGGGTGCTACGAGTTTGGGTGGTTGCATCGCGTTTTTGAGTGATGGGAGAGGGGAGAGTGAAGAAATTTGGGTGGTTGCATCGGTTTTTGAGATGATGGAGAGGGCGAGAGTGAAGAAATTTTGGGTGGTTGCATCGGTTTTTGAGTGATGGGAGAGGGGAGAGTGAAGAAATTTTGGGTGGTTGCATCGGTTTTTGAGTGATGGGAGAGGGAGAAGTGGTCGGATATTTTGAGCTCATCGAGAATTTGGTGGTTGCATTCGGTTTTGAGTGATGGTAGAGGGAGAGAGTGAAGAATTTTGGGGTGGTTATTCGGTTTTGAGTGATGGGAGAGGGGAGAGTGAAGAAATTTGGGTGGTTGCATCGGGTTTTGAGTGATGGGAGAGGGGAGAGTGAAGAAATTTTGGGTGGTTGCATCGCAGTTTTTGAGTGATGGGAGAGGCGGAGAGTGAAGAAATTTGGGTGGTTGCATCGGTTTTTGAGTGATGGGAGAGGGGAAGTGAAAGAATTTGGGTGGTTGCATCGGTTTGAGTGATGGAGAGGGGAGGAGTGAAGAAATTTGGGTGGTTGCATCGGGTTTTTGAGTGATGGGAAGGGGAGAGTGAAGAAATTTGGTGGTTGCATCGGGTTTTGGTATATGGGAGAGGGGAGAGTGAAGAAATTTGGGTGGTTGCATCGTTGTTTGAGTGATGGAGAGGGAGAGTGAAGAATTTGGTGGTTGCATCGGGTTTTTGAGTGATGGGAGAGGGGAGATTGAAGAAATTGGGTGGTTGCATCGTTTTTGAGTGATGGGAGAGGGGAGAGTGAAGAAATTTGTGGTGGTTGCAATCGGTTTTTGAGTGATGGGAGAGGGGAGAGTGAAGAATTTGGGGTGGTTGCATCGGGTTTTGAGTGATGGAGAGGGGAGAGTGAAGAAATTTGGTGTGGTTGCATCGGTTTGAGAGCTGATGGGAGAGGGGAGAGTGAAGAAATTTGGGTGGTTGCATTCGGGTTTTGAGTGATGGGAGAGGGGAGAGGTGAAGAAATTTGGGTGGTTGCATCGGTTTTTGATGTGATGGGAGAGGGGAGAGTGAGAAAATTTGAGGTGGTTTGCATCGGGTTTGGTGAGTGGGGAGTGGGAGAGTGAAGAAATTTGGGTGGTTTGCATCGGGTTTTGAGTGATGGGAGAGGTGAGAGGTGAAGAAATTTTGGGTGGTTGCATCGGTTTTGAGTGATGGGAGAGGGGAGAGTGAAGAAATTTGGTGGTTGCATCGGGTTTTGAGTGATGGGAGAGGGATGAGTGATGAGAAATTTTGGGTGGTTGCATCGTTTTTGAGTGATGGAGAGGGGAGAGTGAAGAAATTTGGGTGTTGGCAATCTGGTTTTTGAGTGAATGGGAGAGGGGAGATGTGATTGAAATTTGGGTGGTTGCATCGGGTTTTTTGAGTGATGGGAGAGGGAGAGTGAAGAAATTTGGGTGGTTTGCAATCGGTTTTTGAGTGATGGGAGAGGGGAGAGTGAAGAAATTTGGGTGGTTGCATCGGGTTTTGAGTGGGAGAGAGTGTGCTGGATATGTGCTCTGAAGAAATTTGGGTGGTTGCATCGGGTTTTGAGTGGGAGAGGGGAGTGTGCTGGATATGTGCTCTGAAGAAATTTGGGTGGTTGCATCGGTTTTTGAGTGGGAGAGAGTGTGCTGGATATGTGCTCTGAAGAAATTTGGGTGGTTGCATCGGGTTTTGAGTGGGAGAGAGTGTGCTGGATATGTGCTCTGAAGAAATTTGGGTGGTTGCATCGGGTTTTGAGTGGGAGAGAGTGTGCTGGATATGTGCTCTGAAGAAATTTGGGTGGTTGCATCGGGTTTTGAGTGATGGGAGAGGGGAGAGTGAAGAAATTTGGGTGGTTGCATCGGGTTTTGAGTGGGAGAGAGTGTGCTGGATATGTGCTCTGAAGAAATTTGGGTGGTTGCATCGGGTTTTGAGTGGGAGAGAGTGTGCTGGATATGTGCTCTGAAGAAATTTGGGTGGTTGCATCGGGTTTTGAGTGATGGGAGAGGGGAGAGTGAAGAAATTTGGGTGGTTGCATCGGGTTTTGAGTGATGGGAGAGTGTGCTGGATATGTGCTCTGAAGAAATTTGGGTGGTTGCATCGGGTTTTGAGTGATGGGAGAGGGAGAGTGAAGAAATTTGGGTGGTTGCATCGGTTTTTGAGTGGGAGAGAGTGTGCTGGATATGTGCTCTGAAGAAATTTGGGTGGTTGCATCGGGTTTTGAGTGATGGGAGAGGGGAGAGTGAAGAAATTTGGGTGGTTGCATCGGGTTTTGAGTGGGAGAGGGGATAGTGAAGAATTTGGGTGGTTGCATCGGTTTTGAGTGGGAGAGAGTGGGATAGTGAAGAAATTTGGGTGGTTGCATCGGGTTTTGAGTGATGGGAGAGGGGAGAGTGAAGAAATTTGGGTGGTTGCATCGGTTTTTGAGTGGGAGAGAGTGTGCTGGATATGTGCTCTGAAGAAATTTGGGTGGTTGCATCGGGTTTTGAGTGATGGGAGAGGGGAGAGTGAAGAATTTGGGTGGTTGGCATCGGTTTTGAGTGATGGAGAGTGGGAGATGTGAAGAAATTTGGGTGGTTGCATCGGTTTTTGAGTGATGGAGAGAGTGGGCTGGAGTGCTCTGAAGAAATTTGGGTGGTTGCATCGGGTTTTGAGTGATGGGAGAGGGGAGAGTGAAGAAATTTGGGTGGTTGCATCGGTTTTTGAGTGGGAGAGAGTGTGCTGGATATGTGCTCTGAAGAAATTTGGGTGGTTGCATCGGGTTTTGAGTGATGGGAGAGGGGAGAGTGAAGAAATTTGGGTGGTTGCATCGGGTTTTGAGTGGGAGAGAGTGTGCTGGATATGTGCTCTGAAGAAATTTGGGTGGTTGCATCGGGTTTTGAGTGATGGGAGAGGGGAGAGTGAAGAAATTTGGGTGGTTGCATCGGGTTTTGAGTGGGAGAGAGTGTGCTGGATATGTGCTCTGAAGAAATTTGGGTGGTTGCATCGGGTTTTGAGTGATGGGAGAGGGGAGAGTGAAGAAATTTGGGTGGTTGCATCGGTTTTTGAGTGGGGAGAGTGGGAGTGAAGAAATTTGGGGTGGTTGCATCGGGTTTTTGAGTGATGGGAGAGGGAGAGTGAAGAAATTTGGGTGGTTGCATCGGTTTTGATGATGGGGAGAGGGGAGAGTGAAGAAATTTGGGTGGTTGCATCGGGTTTTGAGTGATGGGAGAGGGGAGAGTGAAGAAATTTGGGTGGTTGCATCGGTTTTTGAGTTGGGAGAGAGTGTGGCTGGATATGTGCTGAAGAAATTTGGGTGTGGTTGCATCGGTTTTGAGTGATGGGAGAGGGGAGAGTGAAGAAATTTGGGTGGTTGCATCGGTTTTTGATGTGGAGAGAGGGGCTGGAGAGTGCAGTGAAGAAATTTGGGTGGTTGCATCGGGTTTTTGAGTGATGGGAGAGGGGAGAGTGAAGAAATTTGGGTGGTTGCATCGGTTTTTGAGTGATGGAGAGGGGAGTGAAGAAATTTGGGTGGTTGCATCGGGTTTTGAGTGATGGAGAGGGGAGAGTGAATGAAATTTGGGTGGTTGCATCGGGTTTTGAGTGATGGGAGAGGGGAGAGTGAAGAAATTTGGGTGGTTGCATCGGGTTTTGAGTGATGGGAGAGGGGAGAGTGAAGAAATTTGGGTGGTTGCATCGGTTTTGATGATGGGAGAGTGTGCTGGATATGTGCTCTGAAGAAATTTGGGTGGTTGCATCGGGTTTTGAGTGATGGGAGAGGAGAGTGGAAGTGAATTTGGGTGGTTGCATCGGGTTTTGAGTGGGAGAGAGTGTGCTGGATATGTGCTCTGAAGAAATTTGGGTGGTTGCATCGGGTTTTGAGTGATGGGAGAGGGGAGAGTGAAGAAATTTGGGTGGTTGCATCGGGTTTTGAGTGGGAGAGAGGGGAGAGTGAAGAAATTTGGGTGGTTGCATCGGGTTTTGAGTGATGGGAGAGGGGAGAGTGAAGAAATTTGGGTGGTTGCATCGGTTTTTGAGTGATGGGAGAGGGGAGAGTGAAGAAATTTGGGTGGTTGCATCGGGTTTTGAGTGATGGGAGAGGGGAGAGTGAAGAAATTTGGTGGTTGCATCGGGTTTTGAGTGGGAGAGAGGGTGGATATGTGCTCTGAAGAAATTTGGGTGGTTGCATCGGGTTTTGAGTGATGGGAGAGGGGAGAGTGAAGAAATTTGGGTGGTTGCATCGGTTTTTGAGTGATGGGAGAGGGGAGAGTGAAGAAATTTGGGTGGTTGCATCGGGTTTTGAGTGATGGGAGAGGGGAGAGTGAAGAAATTTGGGTGGTTGCATCGGTTTTTGAGTGATGGGAGAGGGGAGAGTGAAGAAATTTGGGTGGTTGCATCGGGTTTTGAGTGATGGGAGAGGGGAGAGTGAAGAAATTTGGGTGGTTGCATCGGGTTTTGAGTGGGAGAGAGTGTGCTGGATATGTGCTCTGAAGAAATTTGGGTGGTTGCATCGGGTTTTGAGTGATGGGAGAGGGGAGAGTGAAGAAATTTGGGTGGTTGCATCGGTTTTTGAGTGATGGGAGAGGGGAGAGTGAAGAAATTTGGGTGGTTGCATCGGGTTTTGAGTGATGGGAGAGGGGAGAGTGAAGAAATTTGGGTGGTTGCATCGGGTTTTGAGTGGGAGAGAGGGGAGAGTGAAGAAATTTGGGTGGTTGCATCGGGTTTTGAGTGATGGGAGAGGGGAGAGTGAAGAAATTTGGGTGGTTGCATCGGGTTTTTGAGTGGGGAGAGGGGAGAGTGAAGAAATTTGGGTGTGTTGCATCGGGTTTTTGAGTGATGGGAGGGAGAGTGAAGAAATTTGGGTGGTTGCATCGGTTTTGAGTGATGGGAGAGGGGAGTGGAAGAAATTTGGGTGGTTGCATCGGTTTTGAGTGATGGGAGGGGAGAGTGAAGAAATTTGGGTGGTTGCATCGGTTTTGAGTGATGAGAGAGTGGCTGGATATGTGCTCTGAAGAAATTTGGGTGGTTGCATCGGTTTTGAGTGATGGGAGAGGGGAGAGTGAAGAAATTTGGGTGGTTGCATCGGTTTTTGAGTGATGGGAGAGGGGAGAGTGAAGAAATTTGGGTGGTTGCATCGGTTTTGAGTGATGGGAGAGGGGAGAGTGAAGAAATTTGGGTGGTTGCATCGGTTTTGAGTGATGGGAGAGGGGGAGTGAAGAAATTTGGGTGGTTGCATCGGGTTTTTGAGTGATGGGAGAGGGGAGAGTGAAGAAATTTGGGTGGTTGCATCGGTTTTTGAGTGGGAGAGAGTGTGCTGATATGTGCTAAGAAATTTGGGTGGTTGCATCGGGTTTTTGAGTGATGGGAGAGGGGAGAGTGAAGAAATTTGGGTGGTTGCATCGGTTTTGAGTGATGGGAGAGGGGAGAGTGAAGAAATTTGGGTGGTTGCATCGGTTTTTGAGTGATGGGAGAGGGGAGAGTGAAGAAATTTGGGTGGTTGCATCGGTTTTTGAGTGGATGGGAGAGGGAGAGTGAAGAAATTTGGGTGGTTGCATCGGTTTTTGAGTGATGGGAGAGGGGAGAGTGAAGAAATTTGGGTGGTTGCATCGGGTTTTGAGTGGGAGAGAGTGTGCTGGATATGTGTCTGAAGAAATTTGGGTGGTTGCATCGGGTTTTGAGTGATGGGAGAGGGGAGAGTGAAGAAATTTGGGTGGTTGCATCGGTTTTGAGTGATGGGAGAGGGGAGAGTGAAGAAATTTGGGTGGTTGCATCGGTTTTGAGTGATGGGAGAGGGGAGAGTGAAGAAATTTGGGTGGTTGCATCGGTTTTGAGTGATGGGAGAGGGGAGAGTGAAGAAATTTGGGTGGTTGCATCGGGTTTTGAGTGATGGGAGAGGGGAGAGTGAAGAAATTTGGGTGGTTGCATCGGGTTTTGAGTGATGGGAGAGGGGAGAGTGAAGAAATTTGGGTGGTTGCATCGGTTTTTGAGTGATGGGAGAGGGGAGAGTGAAGAAATTTGGGTGGTTGCATCGGGTTTTGAGTGGGAGAGAGGGGGGAGTGGAAGAAATTTGGGTGGTTGCATCGGTTTTGAGTGATGGGAGAGGGGAGAGTGAAGAAATTTGGGTGGTTGCATCGGTTTTTAGTGATGGGAGAGGGAGAGTGAAGAAATTTGGGTGGTTGCATCGGTTTTTGAGTGATGGGAGAGGGGAGAGTGAAGAAATTTGGGTGGTTGCATCGGGTTTTGAGTGATGGGAGAGGGGAGAGTGAAGAAATTTGGGTGGTTGCATCGGTTTTGAGTGATGGGAGAGGGGAGAGTGAAGAAATTTGGGTGGTTGCATCGGTTTTGAGTGATGGGAGAGGGGGAGTGAAGAAATTTGGGTGGTTGCATCGGGTTTTTGAGTGATGGGAGAGGGGAGAGTGAAGAAATTTGGGTGGTTGCATCGGTTTTGAGTGATGGGAGAGGGGAGAGTGAAGAAATTTGGGTGGTTGCATCGGTTTTGAGTGATGGGAGAGGGGAGAGTGAAGAAATTTGGGTGGTTGCATCGGGTTTTGAGTGATGGGAGAGGGGAGAGTGAAGAAATTTGGGTGGTTGCATCGGTTTTGAGTGATGGGAGAGGGAGAGTGAAGAAATTTGGGTGGTTGCATCGGGTTTTTGAGTGATGGGAGAGGGGAGAGTGAAGAAATTTGGGTGGTTGCATCGGTTTTTGAGTGATGGGAGAGGGGAGAGTGAAGAAATTTGGGTGGTTGCATCGGTTTTTGAGTGATGGGAGAGGGGAGAGTGAAGAAATTTGGGTGGTTGCATCGGTTTTTGAGTGATGGGAGAGGGGAGAGTGAAGAAATTTGGGTGGTTGCATCGGTTTTTGAGTGATGGAGAGGGGAGAGTGAAGAAATTTGGGTGGTTGCATCGGTTTTTGAGTGATGGGAGAGGGGAGAGTGAAGAAATTTGGGTGGTTGCATCGGTTTTTGAGTGATGGGAGAGGGGAGAGTGAAGAAATTTGGGTGGTTGCATCGGTTTTTGAGTGATGGGAGAGGGGAGAGTGAAGAAATTTGGGTGGTTGCATCGGTTTTTGAGTGATGGGAGAGGGGAGAGTGAAGAAATTTGGGTGGTTGCATCGGTTTTTGAGTGATGGGAGAGGGGAGAGTGAAGAAATTTGGGTGGTTGCATCGGTTTTTGAGTGATGGGAGAGGGGAGAGTGAAGAAATTTGGGTGGTTGCATCGGTTTTTGAGTGATGGGAGAGGGGAGAGTGAAGAAATTTGGGTGGTTGCATCGGTTTTTGAGTGATGGGAGAGGGGAGAGTGAAGAAATTTGGGTGGTTGCATCGGTTTTTGAGTGATGGGAGAGGGAGAGTGAAGAAATTTGGGTGGTTGCATCGGTTTTGAGTGATGGGAGAGGGAGAGTGAAGAAATTTGGGTGGTTGCATCGGTTTTTGAGTGATGGGAGAGGGGAGAGTGAAGAAATTTGGGTGGTTGCATCGGTTTTTTGAGTGATGGAGAGGGGAGAGTGAAGAAATTTGGGTGGTTGCATCGGTTTTTGAGTGATGGGAGAGGGGAGAGTGAAGAAATTTGGGTGGTTGCATCGGTTTTTGAGTGATGGGAGAGGGGAGAGTGAAGAAATTTGGGTGGTTGCATCGGTTTTTGAGTGATGGGAGAGGGGAGAGTGAAGAAATTTGGGTGGTTGCATCGGTTTTTGAGTGATGGGAGAGGGGAGAGTGAAGAAATTTGGGTGGTTGCATCGGTTTTTGAGTGATGGGAGAGGGGAGAGTGAAGAAATTTGGGTGGTTGCATCGGTTTTTGAGTGATGGGAGAGGGGAGAGTGAAGAAATTTGGGTGGTTGCATCGGTTTTTGAGTGATGGGAGAGGGGAGAGTGAAGAAATTTGGGTGGTTGCATCGGTTTTTGAGTGATGGGAGAGGGGAGAGTGAAGAAATTTGGGTGGTTGCATCGGTTTTTGAGTGATGGGAGAGGGGAGAGTGAAGAAATTTGGGTGGTTGCATCGGTTTTTGAGTGATGGGAGAGGGGAGAGTGAAGAAATTTGGGTGGTTGCATCGGTTTTTGAGTGATGGGAGAGGGGAGAGTGAAGAAATTTGGGTGGTTGCATCGGTTTTTGAGTGATGGGAGAGGGGAGAGTGAAGAAATTTGGGTGGTTGCATCGGTTTTTGAGTGATGGGAGAGGGGAGAGTGAAGAAATTTGGGTGGTTGCATCGGTTTTTGAGTGATGGGAGAGGGGAGAGTGAAGAAATTTGGGTGGTTGCATCGGTTTTTGAG